AGGTTTGCGTCTATGGATAGGGAATATTATCACAGAATGCTAAAGAGATCTGGCATTGGACTGAAAAAATCAATCAGCGTGCTCTTATCAGCTGGTTTTCTCATTGTTGTGCCCAATGCCTGACCAGATGTGACTTTAGGGAGGAGGGGTTTACTTTGGCTCACAGTTTAAGAGTGTCCAGTCCATCAAGGACAGAAAGGCATGCCAACAGGTGTTTCCGTGCTGGCAGTTGTTTATAGCTTAGGGAACCAGGAAACAGAGGATAGCTCACAACTACCTGTTACTCCTCCTCCCGGGGATCTGAAGTCTTCTTCTGGCCTCTACAGGTACCTGCACACACATGCACATGTGAGCAAGCACAGCACTGCATACCTCACATAAATAAAAAAACAAAATTAATGAAAATATATTAAGTAGAGCTGGAGAAGCCTGAAAACCTAACAATATCACAAGCATTTGAAGATGAACAGTGAGACACTAGAGAAGTGACAGTGTACAATGTGTCAGATACATAACCAATAAGAGGTGGACATATTATTGTGTGGTACTGGAAGCTTGTTAGTGATTGTTACAGTAGTAGTTTACAAAGAAGCAATGGTGAGAGAAGACCTTTTCCAGGGGCTTGGGAAGTCAGCATGAAGAATCAACCTGCAGATGTCAGTGTTGTGTAATAACATGAGGAACTGAAATCCAGATCCATGAATGAAAGAGGATGAGAGATGTTCTCTGTGTTGGTTTCAAAAGGCCTGGCCCCCATAGACTCATGTGTATGAATGCTTGGCTCATAAGAAGTGGCCCTGTTGGAATAAGTGTGGCCTTGTTGGAGGAAGTGTGTCATTGTTGGGGTGGGCTTTGAGGTCTCCTATGCTCAAAGGTACCAGTGTGACACACAGTCTCCTTCTGCTGCCTGTAGATCAGGATGCAGAATTCTCAGCTACCTCTCCAGTACCATGTCTGCGTGCATGCCACCATGCTTCCTGCCATGATGATAATGGACTAAACCTCTGAACTGTAAGCCATACCTAATTAAATGTTTTCCTTTATAAGAGTTTTATTGGTCATGATGTCTCTTCATAACAATAAAATTTCAACTGAGACAGTCTGTCTTAGTTACTGTTCTAGTGCTATGAAGAAACACCGTAAGTAATGAAACTCTTATAAAAGAAATTTATTAAAAAAGCATTTAATTGGGGGTTTGCTCACAGTTTTAGAGGGAAACTATGGGATCATCATGGCAGGAAGCAGAGAGACATGGAGCTAGGGCAATAGCTGAGAGCATTATATTCAGATCCATAGGCAGGGGAGAGAGAGAATGGGTCTGATATGATATTTTAAAACCTCAAAGCCTATCCCTAGTGATGCACTTCTTTCAACAGGGCCACACCCATAATGCTTCTCTGATAGTTTCTAACTGGGGACGAAACATTCAAACACATGAGCCTATGAGGGACATTCTCATTAGAACAACTGCAACTTTCTTTTACAGAACTGTATTCATGTTCTGAGTCTTTGGCCCTGTTATAACTCTGGTCCTTGTACTGGTGAGAATCTGTTGTGGAACACTGGCAAATCTTCAGGGAAACTTCACCTTCTGACTGTATCGTTAAAAAGGACAAACTATTCCTGTCAGCAATCAGAATGTAGAAATGGAGGAAAGATTTTGCCAAAGAACACAGCAGTTAATAGTATCAGGAGCTGGATCTCTACCATGGGGTAGGTCTCAGGTTGGGCCAATTATTGGTTGGACATTCCCTCAATCTTTGTTCCCTTACCCTGCACTTCTTGTAGGCAGGGTAATTTTTGGACCAAAGGTTTTGTTGGTGGGTTGTTGTTTCCCTCCTTCCACTAGTCCTAGGAGGTGGTCACTTCAGTCTCCATGTCAACCCGCGCCCCCCCCCCCATTAAAAGTCTCATCTAGACTCATACCCCTATCCTCCCAGGAGCCACCCCCATCACAGGCCTCCAGCCTGATAAAAAGATGCCCCCCCCAACTTGACTGTCATCTGTCTGGGAGGCTCCAGCAGCAGCACATAGAGACAGATGCTGGGACTTGTAGCCAAGCATGGAGCAGAACTGTGGAAATGTTGGGGGAAAGATGGAAGGATCTGAAGGGAATAGGAACCTCACAAGAAGACCAACAGAGACAACTAACCCAGTCCTGTAGGGGGAGGCTTACGGAGACTGAGACATCAACTAAGGAGCCTGCATTGTCTGGAGCTAGGCCCCCTCCACATATGTGGCTGATGGGCAGCTTGGTCTTCATATAGGGCACCTGGTGAGTGGAGGGGGGCAGGGCTGTTTCTAACATGGACTCTATTGCCTGCTTTTGAATAACTTCTTCCTGGCAGTGCTGTCTTGCCTGGCATCAGGAGATGAGGATATGCTCAGTCCTGTTGTGACTTGATGTGCTGGGAAGGGTTGATACAGGGGTGAGGGGGCTCTCCTTTTCTGGGAGAAGGGAAGAGGGAAGAAGGGTTAGGGAGGTGATTAGGAGAGGAGGAAGGGGGCACCCTTGGGATGTAAAGTGAATAAACTGAAATAAAAAAGTAAAACAACAACAACAAAACCAAAAAACACAAAACAACCACACAGCTGTTAACAGGGGTTGCATTTTGTCCATCATCCTTTATTGTAATGGCTGTATTTCATAAATCAGAGTCTATACTTCCTTGTGCATTATCACTTGAAATAACCAACATAGAGTAGCAGTCCGAAAGTCCATTGATGGATTAATGAACAAAGGCAATGTAGTATACACATGCTATGTGGTATCAGTCATCTTAAAAAAGAAGGAAATTTAAGGCTGGGGAGATGATAGCTCAGTTAGTAAAGTGATTACACCATAATAATTAGGATCCAAATTAACCCACAGAACCCACTTTGGAAACCTGGGTACAGTAGTACACACTTATAATCCAGGTGCTGGTGAGGGTGAAACAGGCATATCCTTAGGGCTTGCTGCACAGATACCCTATTCTACCTAGAGAACTCTGGTCACATAGTGATCCAGAATAAACCCTTCCTCTTCCGTATTTCTTTTTCTCAACAAAAAGTGACTGATAGAGATCCAGAGACTATGTTAGTTTCCAGGGGTTGGAAGGGAAATGGCAGTCAGTTAGAAAATGAGTAAGCTCTTGGCATCATCACCCCATTATATACTCAAAAATACAATTTCATCTGTAGATTTAAAGATTGAATTGAGGGCCTCATGAATGCAATTACTGTTTTAAGGTTACATTGATTGTTAAATACTCAAATAAAAGAGCTCATTCCTCTATTGGCAAAAGTGACTCTGAGCCAAGATAGAAGCTGGAGCCAGGAAGAAGAGGAAGTAGAGGATAAAAATGAAAAGGAGGTAATGAAAGAGTAGAACAAGGAAGAGGAAGAGAAGGAAGAGGTGAAAGAGGAGGAGGAAGGAAAAGAAGAAAAATGAGGGTTTAAATGGTGCCAAAGGCACCTATATTTTATGTGCTCTATGGATGGCTGTCAACTTTCATCTGGAACAGTGGTTTGCAACCTGTGGGTTATGACCCCTTGGGGTTAAATGACCCCTTCTCAAGTGTTGCATATCAGAGATACTGCATATAAGATATTTAAATTATGATTTGTAACAGTAGCAGAATTTCAGTTATGATGTATAAACAAAATAATTTTATTGTTGGTAACTTCACCACAGCATGAAGGGTTGGAGCATTATGAAGGTTGACAATCACTGATCTAGAACATAAGAAGCTTGCAACCGTACCCATTTTGTTCTTTCTCATTCTCCAAGGTTTCCACTGCACTCAAGGAATGACTACACATAGACACACACAAACACATACACACATCCATATACACACAAAAATTACACACACACACACACACACACACACACACACACACACACACACGATAACATGTGCTCCTAAAATCCTACAATAGCTTCTTTAGCCTTTGTTCTTAGGATAAACCCAAACCCTACCATCTCCTCATTATTATTATTTGTCATCTTTTATCTCCTCTGTCATTGCTTTCTGGCCTTCGTCTGTACAATGATAATTTCATTTCACAAAGGACCATGGTGCGTGTTTGTTTTTTAACAGCTGAGGAACTGACACAGTACTTTCTCTTCCTTACCTGCTTTCTTTCCAACTCACCTTACAATTCTTCTTTATGGAAATGTCTCTTGAAGAAGTTGGTGGGAACAAGGACTGTATGTCTGAGATGTTCAAAGATCTAATGGGTTTTGAAGCCAATCTTATAAAAGCCTGACCCAAGCTGGAGAGTCTGGAGTCCTAATTGCTTGATTAGGACTTTTCAATGATTTTCAGGATACTGTAAATGCATATCTTAGAGGTTCTAATGCTGTGATGAAACACCATGACCAAAAGTAACATGGGGAGAAAAGGGTTTATAGTTTATAACACCATACTACAGTCCATCACTGAAAGAAGTCAGGACAGAGGCAGGAGCTGATACAGAGGTCAAGAAGGGGTACTGCTTACTGGCTTGTTCCTCATGGCTTGCTCAGCCTGACTTCTTACAGCAGCCAGGATCACCAGCTTAGGGATGACACTGCCCACAGTATGCTGGGCCCTCCCGCTCCACTCATCAGCCAAGAAAATGTGCGTGTAGGCTTTCCAACAGACCAATTTAGTGGGAGCATATTCTCAACTGAGGTTCTCTCTTCTGAATGACTCTAATGTTTATCAAGTTGACATAATACTAGCCAGGATAGTATATGTTTGCTTATTAATATTGTGGTTTGGTACTTATTTTGAATGGAATTCTTGCAGACAAAAGAAGAAAGAAATAGGGATAGTCTAGCAAGAAGAAGCTTCAGTAGGTTGAAGCACTTGCTGGATATGTCTAACAACTTGTATTCGATCTTTGAAACTCACATAACATTTATTATTTAGGAACATGTATGTATATACATATACATATGCATGGATAGCAACAATCAATGAAAAAGAGGCCACAAATTTGAAAGAAAGTACAGAGGGACAATTGGGAGTATTTGAAGGGAGGAAAAGGAGGGGGAAAAGATGTAATTACATCATAATATCAAAAAAGAAATAATTGTTAAAAAGTGGAAGGAGAAAACTGGCCCCATAAAGGTGTTCTCTGACCTTCATATGAGAGATATAGCATATGTGTGCACATACAGCTTAAAATAAATTGAAGATAGAGCTGAAGATATGTCTCAATGGTTAAGAGCACTTGTGTGAGGACTTGGGTTCAATTCCCAGCACCCAAATGGCAGCTCGTAGCCATCTGTAACTCAAGTCCCCAGGGATCTGACACCAGCTACACATTTGGTACACAGACATAACTGTTTGAAAAACACACACATAAAATAAATAAATAAAATAAAAAGAAACTGATAAAAACCAATGTAGTAAGGAAATATTCCCATGGGCATTACGTTGGAAGGTAGCTATTTCTAGGAAAGACCAGAGTGGTTAAATATATAGCTTGCAGTAAATAAGCATTAAAGTACCTAAAGCCTAACAGAGACAGCAAGAGTTTGTCTATAGTAGAAAATTAAAGATTTCATCTCAGCATGTGTTTTAGGACATTTTGCCAAACTTGGTGACACTAGCCCTTCATTCCGTCAAAGACCTCTCTCTTCCTGCAGGGGCCATAGAGCGCACAAGGGCCCAGGACTAGAACTTGCCTTCAGTTCCCTCGTAGATATTGCAGCCTTTTGCTACTCTTCAAGGAAACGTTGCACTCTCCATCTTTTCCGGCATCGCCTACTTGCTAATATGTTGGTTCCCTCTTTATCCTTCTTCTTACTGAGCCAGTCTTCAGCCAAAAGGCAGACTAGACCCATCAGGACTATGCATGCCAGACCAATCCGAACGAGATTCTGGGTTGTGTGATCCCACAAGGCAGAGTCTGGAGTCAGAAGACAAGGTAGCTGCTGAAAGAGGCTACACCCACACCCTCCTCCCTCTTCTTTGACCTTCCTGCTTTGCCCTGTGCCTTTCCAAAACACTATAGTTTTAGATGTTTACTTACCTGTCTGTAATCCTGATTCTTTGGTTGAAAGGTTGAACTCCAAATAATCTGAGGATAAGGAAAGGAAGAAGGGATGAATAGAGGATGGTGTCAGATTCTGTGAAGCCTTTCTTCTTTTGTGTATGCCCACATTGCAACCTATGACTTTTCCAAGTTTGTCCCCACCCAGAATTCCAGGCTCTAAGGTCTTCATCTGGCAACAGAATAGACTAGTAAAGAGATGGATGAGACTCAAGTGTGGACTCATTCATAGTGCTAATAATACATGTGTCTTCATGCTAGACAGATCCTCTAGGGAAGCCTCATTTTTCTCATCTATCAGTACAATTTTCTCCTCCTAACATGAAAGGAAACAAATTCACACATCTGACATTTTCTTCAATCTCTGATGTGAGCTGCCCCACACCCCAATCCCATCATCACCTCTGTGATGGGTAGTTTTAAATGTCTTTGCCACAATCTAGAATTGCCTGAAAAGAGAGTTCAAGTGGAATTATTTAGATCAGGTTGGCCTATGGCCATGTCTGTGTGGCACTGCTTTGATTATTAATTGATACATGAAGACCCAGCCTATTGCGGATGTTACTGTTTCTTGGGCAGAGTTGTATACAGGACAGGAGACCATTTGGTTAGAGCTGAAACAGGAAGCATAAATGTATTTGTTTCTTTCTGTATTTGATTGTGTATGTCGTGTAACTAGCTGCTTGGGCTCTTATTTTCACTTCCTCTCTGTGATGGCCTGAGACCTAACTAAATAAATCTTTTCCTTTTGACAGTTGCTTTTAGCCAGGGTGTTTTTATCACAGCAATAGCAATTACTTTTTCACTAGAGAAGTTAACTAAAACAGAGACCAGAGAACAAGAGAGTGTGGAATGCTCAGCCTTAAGTGGGCTTTATAACACCCTTCCTCCCAAGAATCAGACATTATTATGGAAAAAAGGGTGGAAAGATTGTAAGAGTCAGAGGTGGTAGATAACTACAAGAAACTAGTGTCTTGTGGCCGCAACAGAGCAGCTGCACATACAAACTCACAGCTATTATGTTATCATTCATAAACTCTGTACAAGCTCAATCTAAACACACTCCCAACATGGAGAAAAGATATAGGCATGAAGTCCCACCCATGGATGAGTGGCCATTGGCATTTGATAGCTTCTGGGGAGGGAAAGTCAGGCTTCTTTAGGGGTTTAATCCCTGGTGGGTTGGCCATGCTCTGGTGGAAGGCTACATACCCAAGAGATATGTGGAGCACACATTGTATTTGATGAGTTAAAAAAAGAAGACACGGGGGGCGGGGACAAGATAGCAGTGCCAGGAGAACACTGCGTCTGAGAAAGAGGACAACATTTTCCATGCAGCGAACAAGAGACTGAACTCTGGGCCCTGAAACAACAGCAATCATGTTTCCCAGGTGAGAGAACACCCCCACAGCGTGGGAATCAGTCGGGTCCACTTTCAGGTCACCCAGCCAGAACCTGGAAGAGATCCCAGGTCGTGTAGGCACGAGGTCGCCAGACCAGAACCACATGCCTGCGTGTCCTGATCACCGTCCCAGGCTGAACGGTGGGCACAAAAACGCCAGTGACTAGGAGTCCCAGTCATGAGAAAACCCCACAGGGAAGGAAGGCAATGGCGCTGGAAAAAGTCTCGCAGAACAGCGGGTATGAGCCGCCATCACTGAACTGGGCTCCAGCCCTGAGCACAGACAGTTGCTGTGCGCCCAGCTCTCTGGCACAGACAGAGCTGTGTGCCCCAGGACACCAGAGACAGGGAGTCACTGTCAGGAGACATCATCACAGGGAACAAGGAAAGGAGACTGACTTAGGCCACCCAATATATCCCTGGAAAATGTTGCAAAGACCAGCCCAACCCAGGAACCTGCTGTGCACCAGATAGCCTGCTGTGGTACTCACCCGCCACAGATTACCGCTTGCATACTGGGGCACAGAGCCCCAACCTCAGACCTACAAAAGCCTGGAATCCCTGAGATCAACCCCCAGATACTGCTCCAAGGGGCAACCAGTTATCCCTAAAAAAACTGATCAAACCATGGGACACACAGGTTACAGCAGCAGATGACTAAATTTACAACAAGAAACCCAGAAGCAGGGCAGCTGTCTTCAGGACTTCTCTGGGTGAGAAGAGAGCCCTCTTGACTAACAAAGACCACATTTACCACTCAGGTCTCTATGCCTGAGGTGAGCAGTGGCAACTCCTAAAAAACACCAGCCATCCAGTGACTATACCCAAAGAGCTGAGAAGGCTTCCTTCAGGAAAAACCATCTTCCTGACAAGGGGATTCTCTCCACCATAGAATTCCAGGAACCACCAGAAACTAACTCCAAACACCTAAGATAGCCCAGTGGGTAGAGGCCAGCTTAAAAGCTCAACCAACAAAAGACAGAGCAATATGGCATCTCCAGAACCCAGTTATCCAGAGGCAAGCAGCCCTGGACACCCTCGCGTAATTGAAATTCAAGAAGATGACCTAAGATCTATACTCATGAAGAGGATAACAGAGGAAACAAATAAAATGCATAAAGACCTACACAAAGATAAACTCAAACAGATTATGGCCATCCGTAAAGAAATACAGGAAGTTGCAGCCAAACAGTTTGTGGCCTTTAGAGAGGAAATGCTTAAATCACTGAAAGAAATAAAAGAAACAGAGAATTGTTCAAACAAACAGCTGAAGGAATTGAAGGAAAAACAGGAAAATACAGTCAGAGAGGTGAAGGAAATCAACAAAATGGTTAAAGATCTGAAGATAGAATTGGAAAAATTAAAGACAACAGAAATAGAGGAAACTGTGGAGAGAAAGAAGTTAGGGAAGAAAACAGGAACTACAGAGGTTAGCATAACCAATAGACTAAAAGAGATGGAAGAAAGAATCTCAGGTGTGGAAGATACAATGGAAGAAATAGATGTATCTGTCAAAGAAAATGTTAAATCTAAAAAATTCTTGACACAGACCGCCCAAGAAATTGAAGACAACATGAAAAGACAAAACCTAAGAATAATAGGAATAGAGGAAAAAGAAGATTCCCTCCTCCAAGGCCCAGAAAATATTTTCAACAAAATCATTGAAGAAAATGTCCCCAATTTAAAGGAGAGGCCAATAAGAATACAAGAGGCCTACAGAACACCCAATAAGTTAGACCAGAAAAGAAAATCCTCCTGCCACAAAATATTCAAAACAGTAAGTATATAGAACAAAGAAAAAATACTAAAAGCTTCAAGGGAAAAAGGCCAAGTAACATAGAATGGCAAACCCATGAGAATCACATCTGACATCTCAACAGAGACTATGAAAGCCAGAAGGTCCTGGACACATATCATGCAGACCCTAAGAGAACACAGATGTCAGCCCAGGCTACTATACCCAGCAAAACTCTCAGTCCTCATAGATGGAGAAAACAAGATATTCAATGACAAAAACAAATTTCAACAATACCTACACACAAATCCAGCATTACAGAAGACACTAGAAGGAAAAATACAACCCAAGAAAACTAACTACTTTCAAGAAAACACAGGAAATAAATGACCTCACTACAGCAAAACAAAAAGTAACCAAGCACACAAACTTACTACCACAGCCAACATCAAAATCAAAGGATCTAACAGGCACTGGTCATTAATCTCTCTCAACATCAATGGACTCAATTCTCCAATAAAAAGACACAGACTAACAGAATGGATGCTTAAACAAGACCCAACAATCTGTTGCATAAAAGAAACGCACCTAAGTCACAAAGATAGACATTACCTTAGGGTAAAGGTCTGGAAGACAGTTTTCCAAGCAAATGGACACAAAAAGCAAGCAGGAGTAGCCATTCTAATATCTGATAAAATAGACTATCAACCAAAATTAATAAAAAGAGGTGAGGAAGGTCATTTCATATTCATCAAGGGAAAATTCCAACAGGAAGAGATCACAATCCTGAACATCTATGACCTGAATACAAGGGCACCCACATTTGTAAAAGAAACACTGATAAAACTTAAACCACACATAGATCCCCACACATTAATAGTGTGAGACTTCAACATCGCACTCTCAACAAAGGACAGGTCAAAAAAACAGAAATTAAATAAAGAAACAATGTCTCTAACAGAGGTCATGAATCAAATGGACCTAACAGACATTTACGGAACTTTACACCCAAACACAAAAGAATTTTCCTCCTTCTCAGCACCTCATGGAACCTTCCCAAAAATAGACCATATGGTTGGTCACAGGCAAGCCTCAACAGATACAAGAAGATTGAAATAAAGCCTTGTATCCTATCTGATCATCACGGACTAAAGCTCGACCTCAAAACAACAGAAATAGCAAAAAGCCTACACATACATGGAAACTGAACAACTTGCTACTAAATGACAGCTGGGTCAGGGAAGAAATAAAGAAAGAAATTAAAGTCTTCCTAGAATTCAATGAAAATGAAGGCACAACATACCCAAACTTATGGGACACAATAAAAGCAGTACTACAAGGAAAGTTCATAGTACTAAGTGCCTTCAAGAAGAAATTTGAGACAGCTCATTCAAGCGACTTAATGGCTCACTTAAAAACCCTAGAAAAAGAAGAAGCAGACACACCAAAAAGGAGTAGATTACTGGAAATAATCAAACTCAGGGCTGAAATCAATCAATTAGAAACAAATAAAACAATTCAAAGAATCAATGAAACCAAGAGCTGGTTCTTTGAGAAAATCAACGAGATAGACAAACCCTTAGACAAGCTAACTAAAAGGCAGAGAGACACATCCAAATCAACAAAATCAGAAATGAAAAGGGGGACATAACTACAGACACTGAAGAAATCCAAACAGTCATTAGGACTTACTTCAAAACTTTATATGCCACAACATTTGAAAATCTAAGTGAAATGGACAATTTTCTTGATTGATTCCACCTACCAAAGCTGAATCAAGACCAGGTAAATCAATTAAATAGTCCTATATCCCCTAAGGAAATAGAAGCAGTCATCAAAAGTCTCTTATCCAAAAAATGCCCAGGACCAGATGGTTTCAGCGCAGAATTCTACCAGACCTTCAAAGAAGAGCTAACACCAATAATCTTCAAACTATTCCACAAAATAGAAACAGAAAGGACACTACCAAACTCATTCTATGAAGCCACAGTCACCTTGGTACCTAAACCTCAGAAAGACCCAACAAAGAAAGAGAATTTCAGGCCAATCTCCCTTATGAACATTAATGCAAAAATACTCGACAAAATACTTGCAAACTGAATACAAGAACACATCAAAGATATCATCCACTATGACCAAGTAGGCTTCATCCCAGGTATGCAGGGGTGGTTCGATATATGGAAATCCATCAATGTGATCCACCATATTAACAAACTGAAACAAAAAACCCACATGATAATCTCCTTAGATGCTGAAAAAGAATTTGACAAAATCCAACATCCATTCATGTTTAACGTATTGGAGAGATCAGGGATACAAGGCACATATCTAAACATAGTAAAGGTGATATACAGCAAGCCTATAGCCAACATCAAACTGAATGGAGAGAAACTTAAAGCAATCCCACTGAAATCAGGGATAAGGCAAGGCTGCCCATACTCTCCATATCTCTTCAACATAATTCTGGATGTCCTTGCTAGAGCAATAAGACAGTTGAAGGAGATCAAGGGGATACAAATTGGAAAGGAAGAAATCAAATTATCACTATTTGTAGATGACGTGATAGTATACGTGAGTGGCCCCAAAAACTCTACCAGGGAACTCCTACAGCTCATAAACACCTTCAGCAAAGTGGCCGGATACAAAATTAACTCAAAAAAATCAGTAGCCCTCCTGTATACAAAAGACAAAAGGGCTGAGAAAGAAATGAGGGAAACAACACCCTTCACAATAGCCACAAAGAACATAAAGTACCTTGGAGTAACCCTAACCAAGCAAGTCAAAGACTTGTATGAAAAAATTTCAAGTCTCTGAAGAAAGAAGTAGAAGAAGATATCAGAAGATGGAAAGATCTCCCATGCTCATGGTTTGGCAGGATCAACATAGTAAAAATGGCCATTTTACCAAAAGCAATCTACAGATTCAATGCAATTCCCATCAAATTACCAACACAATTCTTTACAGAGCTTGAAAGAAAAATTCTCAACTTCATATGTAATAAGAAGAAACCCAGAATTGCTAAAACAATCCTTTACAATAAAAGATCTTCTGGAGGTATCTTCATCCCTGAACTCAAGCTGTACTATATAGCAACAGTAATAAAAATTGCATGATACTGGCATAGAAACAGAATGGTGGATCAATGAAACCAAACAGAAGACCCAGAAATAAACCCACGCACTTATGGACACCTGATCTTTGACAAAGATGCCAAAACCATACAATGGAAAAAAGATAGCATTTTCAACAAATGGTGCTGGTCTAACTAGGTGTCTACATGTAGAAAAATGCAAATAGATCCATACTTATCACTCTGTACAAAACTAAAGTCCAAGTGGATCAAAGACCTCAACATAAAACCAGACACATTAAATCGGTTAGAAGAAAAAGTGAGGAAGAGCCTTAAGCTCATTGGCTCAGGAGACAACTTCTTGAACAGAACACCAACAGCACAGGCTCTAAGAGCAACAATCAATAAATGGGACCTCATGAAACTGAAAAGCTTCTGTAAAGCAAAGGACACCATCATCAAAATAAAATGACTGCCTACAGATTGGGAAAGAATTTTCACCAACCCTTTATCTGAGAGAGGGATAATATCCAGTATATATAAAGAGCTAACGAAGCTGAAAAGCAACAAACCAAGCAATCCAATTAAAAAATGGGGAACAGAGCTAAACAGAGAATTCTCAATAGAGGAATATCGAATGGCAGAGAAACACTTAAAGAAATACTTAACCTCATTAGCCATCAGGGAAATGCAAATCAAAATGACCCTGAGATTTTACCTTACACCCATCAGAATGGCCAAGATGAAAAACTTGAGTGACAACATGCTGGAGAGGCTGTGGAGAAAGGGAAACTCTCCTCCACTGCTGATGGGAATGTAAACTTGTACAGCCACTCTGGACATCAATCTGGTGCTTTCTCAGACAACTAGGAATATCGCTTCCTCAAGATCCAGCCATACCACTCCTAGGCATATATCCAAAAGAGGCTCAGGTACACAATAAGGACATTTGCTCAACCATGTTTGTAGCAGCCTTATTTATAATAGCCAGAAGCTGGAAACAGCCCAGATGCCCCTCAACTGAAGAATGGATGCAGAAATTGTGGTACATCTATACAATGGAGTATTACCCAGCAATGAAAAATAAGGAAATCATGAAATTTGCAGGTAAATGGTGGGAACTGGAAAGGAACATCCTGAGAGAGCTATCTCAAAACCAGAAACACACACATAGTTTTATGAGTGAGTTATATTCACTCATATAGACATATAACATAGGATAAACCTAGTAAAATCTGTACATCTAAAGAAACTCATCAAGAGAGAGGACCCTGACTAAAATGCTCAATCTCCATCCTGAAAGGCAAAGAGGATGGACATCAGAAGAAGAAGAAAACAGGAAACAACCTCGGAACCTGCCACACAAGGCCCCTGAAAGGGTCTGCCCTTCAGACTATCAAAGCAGATGCTGTGACTTATGGCCAACTGTTGGGCAGTGTGCATGGAATCTTATGTAAGAAGTGGGAAATAGTAAGATCTGGAGAGGACAGGAACCCCACTAGGAGAGCAACAGAACCAGAAAATTTGAACACAGGGGTCTTCCCAGAGACTCATACTCCAACCAAGAACCACTCATGGAAATAACCTAGAACCCCTGCACAGATGTAGCTCATGGCAGTTTAGTGTCCAAGTGGGTTACATAGTAATGGGAAGAGGGACTGCCTCTGTTATAATCTGATTGGCCTGCTCTTTGATCACCTCCCCCTGAGGGGGGATCAGCATTACCAGGCCACAGAAGATGACCATGCAGCCACTCTTGATGGGATCTGATAGACTAGGATCAGAAGGAATGAGAGGAGGACCTCCACTATCTGTGGACTTGAGGAAAGGCATGTGTGAAGAAGGGGAGGGAGGGTGGGATTGGGAGGGAAGGAGAGAGGGGCTTATGGGGGGATACAAAGTGAATAAAGTGTAATTAATAAAATAAAAAAAGGAAAAAAGAAGATACAAAAGTTAGGTAGAGAGGAGAATCTAGGAAGAGTTGAATATGATTGAAACATTGTGTGCAATTCTCAAACAATTAATAAAAACTTAAAAGTGAAATGAAAGTCCCCCAAACTATTTTTCAACCCCATTGGTATCAGTACAGTTCTTTATTATCCGGATCATCTTCCTGCCTTAGGCTGTCTCTACATGGCTATGAATCTCTATTCCTCTGTAGCTCCCTGTATTTTCTTAGTTGCCTTTATCTCAGAGGTTTCCCACGCTGGGAAACTCTCTATCTTATTTTGACCTTCCCTCCTGATCAGTTTAAGACATTATCACCACTTCCTCTTTATGTGCTGGAGAACATATTTATTTGCCCTGACTTGACTCTTGGTTTGTTCTTATTGTTGGGATGTAAGTTTCACAAAGGCTGACTGACTGTCCCAGCTGCTGGTAGGTGCTGTGCATTAAATGGATGTTATGAGTAAATACCACATTCTTTAATGTCATCAGAGAGCTTTGATCTTTCCTATAATGATGACGATGGTGATGATGTGTGTAGGTCAGAGATCAACATTGGATGCACTTTTAAAACCCTCACCACCGTAGTCTGTGGGACAGGATTTTTTTTTAAGGATCTTTTAATTAACCTTGAAATTCAACTAGACTGGCTTGCCAGTGAACCCCAGGGGGTCCTCCCCCTGCCTAGCACCAGGATTACACGCATAAGACACAATGCCTGGATTTTATAAGGGTGCTATAGATTCAACTTGGGTCCTCAGGCTTGTGTGGTAAACACTTCACCAATAGCCAACTCCTCAGCCTCTCTGATGAATTTAAAAGACTCACCAAAAGAAGAAGTAGCGTCAGTGGGTGCAAGGCTGGTGTTGCCAACATCTCCTAGAAATGGAGAATACTTTAAAAAAATGAGAATTTTAGGTCTTTTCCCTTATCCTCTATTCCTTCATTTTCCTCTGCTTCCTGGGAGTCCTGAGTGCCCAGCTTGATCTCTAGGAAGCAGAGAACTCTTTGCTATCTTTTTCACCATCCCCTAGGGCTGTGGTTAAGATATGGGTGGGAGCATTCTTACCTGCAATGAATAGATGCACTGACTTGCTGGGGAAAGACCATGTATAGTCGTTGTAAGAGCCAAAACATGTGTATGTTCCTATCTGGGCTCTGGTCATTGGGCCCATGGGGAACTCTGCTTGGGTGTTCCCGTATCTGTGCTGGACATGGTTAGATCTTCCCTCCTTGAGCAGAAAGAATTTGTTTGTTGCACTCTTCAACTGGCAGGAGAAGGTAACATTCTCCCCTATGGCTACTGCAGACCCTGGATGAACCCAGAGGTTGGGTGTGTCATACAGACCTGTGAAAGAAGCGGGGCTGGTATACATAAAGCGTTATCACACTCCGTTATCCCTATGACCAAATATCAGTCTTTGGAATCTGGGATCCTTCTGTTCCTAAACTTGTGCTTGTCACAGATGGATCCATAATCCTTCAGGACTAAGGCTCTTGGGCCACAGCTTCTCCATTCTTACCAATGGCTCTGTGTTTGGTCCTCAGGACCAAAACCACTAGAATCACTGGAAAGCCTGTAGATGCACTGTTCCTACCCAGAATCACTGCATTAGAAACACAGGGACAGAATAGCCTTTTGCATTTTAAAAAATATTGTTTTTAATTTTATAATATAATTACATAATTTACCCTTTCTTCCCCTTTCTTCAAATCCTCCTATATACCCTTCCTTGTTCTCTCTCAAATTTGTGGCCTCTTTTTTCTTTGTTTTTACACACACACACACACACAGACACGCACACGTATACGTACGAATATACACATTGCTAACACTTAAGTACAACCTGTTCAGTTTATATAGTGTTACTTGTTTGCATGTTTTCAGGGTTGACCATTAGGTTTGGGCTAACCAGTTGGTGTGCTCTTTCCTGGGTAAGACTTTCTCCTGCTCTCAGCATTTCATAGTTGCCTTTAGTTCTGTGTGTAGGGTTGAAGCCTCCTGGGATTTCCCCTGTTCTATAGAAATTTGGGTGGGAGAGTGTGCTGTGGAGGTAGCTCAGTAGCTAAACACCTGAATTTGATCCTCAGATCTGGGTTTTAATTCCAACACCCACACAGAAAGCCAAGCATGGTGGTGTATGCCTCTGGTCCTACGGGGAGGCGCGGGAGAGGAAGAAACGGACAGATTTGTGGGCCAGCTAGCCTTGTGTATGTACTTGGTGCGCCGTGATAGCAGTGAACCACTCTGAAATCATGAGGCAGATGTGTCCTGGAAAATGGCACCTGAGAGTGTTGTCCGCTTTGCAGGCACGCACACACACGCACGTGCACACACCTGTGCCCACAGGAACTTGCACACACTTGCTCAGAGCCTTTAAACGTATGAGAGCTACGAAACATTGGTATCCTTCACCTCCAGAACGTTTTCTTCTCCAAATCAGAAATCTTTACACTATTAAACACCCCCCCTTCTTCCTTCCCATGGTCTGGCAATCACCCTTCTACACCCTTCTGTGTCTATGAATTTGACTATTTCAGGTAAATTAGTTAAATTAGTGCAGCCAGTATTTGTCCTTCTGTGACTGGCTTGTCTCCATTAGCATGATGTCACCCAGGTTCAGCCATATCATAGCACATGCCAGCATTTTTTCCTTTGCAAGGTAGGTGTAATATTCCACGGTATATGGATATACCACATTTCACTCATCTACTTATTTGCCAAGAGACATAGTGTTATTCCTACCTTTTATCTATTGGTTTATTTATTTTAGCTTCTCAATTTTTCCTCTGTGTTATTGTGTGTGGTATGGCTTGTGTATGCTTCTTTGTCTTTCTTTATAAGTGTGTGTACCTGTAAGCTAATATGTGGAGGCGAGGGGAAGATATTGGGTGCCCTGCTCTATCCCTTTTCATCCAATTCTCTTGAGACAGGAGCTCCCTGAACCCACAGCTAGGCTGCTGGACACCAAGCCCCAACAGGCTGATGTTTCCTGCCCAGTTCTAGTGTTACAGACACACCTGGCTTTTCCTGTGAATCCTGGGGATTTAAACCCACGTTCTCATACTTAAACAGTCAGCTCTCTCATTAATGAGCCATCTAACTAGTCACCTTTTGGCTATTGTGACTAATATTCTCAGGAACATGCATGTGCAAGAGCTGTCTGTGATTTTACATGGCTTCCATGTCATTTTTCAAGCTTGGTTCAATTTGAGAACTACATGTGTGGCTACATATTCTAATGAAACTCTGTCACAGGTTAACATATTTCTGCCCAGTTTTGATTCTCTTGTCCATCTGTCCTCAGCCATACCCCTACACACAGTGGCCTATTATAGAACGCTTTCAGAGATCTTGACATAAGACAGAGCTGATGCCAGGACTAAGATCTGGCCCTAAAGGTTGCTCTTGTAGGAAGTAGCTACGATTAGACACATCTTCTGACTTTTAGCTAAGATAAATGGTGTCAGAGCGTGGCCTAAAGAGTTTTCAGTATTCATGAACACAGACACTCCCCATGATTCATACTAAGGTGACACTACATCTAAAAACCAAGACACTTACCAGTCATTACCAGGTGCAGGGTGTTGCTGAACTCTGACCAGAGCTCCCCACTCTGATAGAAGCAGCTGTATCTCCCTGCAGTGTGTGAGGTCATATGTGAAATGAAGAACGTGACTGCACTCATTGATCTAGACGGCTTTGGTTTCTCCATGGCAAAAAGGCTTCCTTCAAAGTACAGGTGATATTCAGAAGCACTCTGAGCCCCCTGGCACGAGATGTTCACCGGGTGTCCTTTTCTAACCCTGTTCCTGGGACTGGCCCAGATGAGGGGTTTTGGGAGAGTCTCTGCAAAGGAACCAGAGGCAGGCATCCTGGGTGAACCGTTACCTAGCTACCCTACTTTTCTCAGCCAGCAGCCTGAGGCCATCTTAATGAGGCAGAATACCTGCCTGTGGCTCTGGAAGTTCTTAGATGGACCTCTGAGATGACCCATAAGAAGGACCCTGAGGCTCTGAACGAAGACTTACGTTTTTCAGTGTTTATCCTCTGGCTCATACATAGCCCTAGAAAACAGCAATAAGAATGTGTGTCTCCCCAACTCCCGCTCTTGATTCCACCCCCCTTTGATGAAGGACTCACCGAGGCAGAGGAGAGCAGTGAGTGTTGGCAGCATACCACTGGCAAGACCAAGGCTGAAGACCAATGTGTGTAGACTGAGTCCAGCAGGTGAGGGAGAGAAAGAGGATGTGGTGGGTGAGGCCCAACACCCATCACCATGGGACTTTCACACATTTGTTTTGAACAGAAAAATTCACAGCTCTCCCTTCACCACTGACCTTGGGCTTCAAGCAAAGATGTGCTCCACACCACACATTTAACCACATTTTGGGTCTAAAAATTTACTCTGACTATCATCTGTGTAGTCTGAAATCCACTTCTGGGTTAACTATAAATTCATTCAGGGCAGGTGGGGGAAGAGTCACAGAGCAAAAGATCTGAGGATTTCCCAAATGTGGATTTCAACCTTTGTAGTCTTGTGTGCAGCATGCATGTGTTTGGATTTGATCACTGGTTTAATCTGAAAGCAACACTAATGCAACATTAGAAATTTTGTTATTTTATTCCAGTACAACTACAATGCTATTATCATACTTTTTCTTTTTATGTGCATGTACGGTGTGCATATGCATATGTATGTATATTTGCATGTATATAAATAAACACACCTCTGTACAAGTGTGCATGGGGAGGCTTGAAGCTGATATAATGGATCATCCCCCATAGCTCTTTTACCTTATTCATTGAGGCAGGGTCTCTCAATCAAATCCAGAGCTCGCCGATATGATGAATCTCTCTAGCCAACTTGTTCTGGGTACCCGTTGTCTCTGCATTCCCAGGCTGAAATTTCAAGTGAGTTTCTGCATCCACCTGGCATTTTATGTGTGTTCTATGGAGCTGAACTCTGGTCTCCATAGTAGTGTAGCAAGCATTTTAATTACTGAGTTATCTCCCCAACCCTTATTAGCTTGTGTGTGTATGCACCAGGTATACTTATTTTTTGGACACGATGTCCCTCAGGAGCCAAGAGCTTGCCAAGTATGCAAGGTTAGTTGACCTCTGAGCCCTGGGTAACCTGTCTGTTTCTCCCCAGCACAGTGATCATAAGTATGAGTTATCACACTTGACTTTTATGTTTTAAAGATTTCATTTTAAATTATGTGCATCTCTTTGTGGGTATCTGCATGAGTGTAGTGCTTGTGGAGGCCAGAAGAGGACGCAGGATTTCCTAGAGCTGGAGGTACAGGGGTGTGAGCTCTCTGACATAGGTGCTCTTAACTGCTGAGCCACCTTCCCAGCTTACGGCTGGCTTTATTTTCTATGTGGCTTTGGAGACTGAACTGAGGTCTTCATACCTATAAGGCAAGCATTTTACTGATGTGCTGGCCAGATTATTTACTCCTTCCTTTCTTCTCTATTAATGTTGGAGGTTTGACTGTTTTTCTGTGTTGGACACATTTGTTTATTTCTGTTTTATCTCTTCCTTTCATGAAATTTATTATTTCTTGTGACTGAGAGCCTCTTTCTTCCTTCTCTGTGCATGGTATTAATTTTGTTATCTTCTGTGAGTCTTGCTTTTTGGTCATGACCAGCCTGAGTTTGTGTCTATCTTGAAAATTTCCCATTTTCTTATCAACTTCATGGCATAATTTTACTGGGTATGGCAGCGTTAGTCCATTGCTTTCACGTCTTGAAATGTAACATCCCACATTTTTCTGCCTTTTAGAGTTGCTGAGAGATCTGACATTATTCTGACCTTTGTACCTTTGTGAGTTGCTATCTTTCATTTGTAGCTTCTTTCTTTGTTATGTGTTTTTTATATATTGACTGTATTATAGCATTCAGAGTTTTACTCTTTTCATGTTTAGTTGGAGTTCAAGATAAGTCTTGTATTTGGATGTTTATGCCTTTTTCTAGACTTGGAAAGATTTCTGCTATAATTTGATTTTATAGATTATCTACATCTGTGATGTTTTGTCAACATTCTTGTGATCTGGTGGATTCTCAGGTCTTTTAATCATTGTTCTAGTTTAGCTTCTGTTGCTGTGATAAGTTACCCTGAGAGAAAGGAACCAATGGGAGAAACGGTTTATTTGGCTAACATTTACATGTTAAATTCCATAAATGCTGAGGAGTCAAGACTAGAATTCACACCCTGTTTTCTTAAACTCATGATTTCTTATTTTTTTTTTGTGTGTGTGTGAGCTTAGCCTTTCACAGCTGAGCCATCTCTCTAGTCCTCATGATTTCTTTTATGATATAAATGTCCAAACTAATTTCTTTGAGAATTTCCCCAATTTTATTAACATGTTAATTGTGCAAATAAGGCTTTTGGTGTGACATTTCCCATACATTCATGTACTGTTCTGTGGTCTTAACATATCATATCCATCCTTTCCATTACTTTTTATTATCCACCATTCATCACTTCCATATCTCTAATAATACCCATCTTACTTTTATATGCTTCTTCCACTCCAAATCACATATATTGTGTGTATATATACACATATATATGTTTCCTTCTACTCCAAATCACACACACACACACACACACACACACACACACACACACACACGTGTGTGTGTATATATATATATATATATATATATGTTTCTGGTATTTGTGAGACTTATGTCTTCTAGATTTTTGAAATATACAATTATGGATTCAATAATGTGAAATATCTTGGTTACAAGATGAACTATAACATTGTTTTAAGTTATAAATAGAAATTTTGTGCCTGAAAAGAAGTCATTTAATGCAGTTTCTTAGTCTCCTAATAGGATTGTGATCTTCATCTGTTCTCATATTTATGTATTTAATTTTCACTTAGACAAAACCAATGCCTTAAAGACAAAGGAGGAGATTTACTATTTTAGCCAGCCTTGCCAGTTATTTATAATTGGTAGAGAAACAGTAAACACCCCCAATCCCAGTATAGATGGGAGATGAGAGTCACCAAGTCCCACCCCGAGGCAAGGAAGTATTTTGGCAATTTATGGCTGCTGGAAGAGAGAGCTAGTTCCCCCCCTCAAAGGATGCAGCCACTGAGAAGCTTCCCAGGATCCAGTAGATGTCCCTACAGCATGCACATAACTAGCAAGAAACCCAGAATCAGGGCAGGTGTCTCCAGGACTTCTCTGGGTAAGAGGAGAGCCCACTTGATTAACAAAGACAACAGTTACCACTCAGGTCTGTATGCCTGAGGTGAGCAGTGGCAATTCCTGAAAAACACCAGCCATTCAGGGACCATACCCAAAAAGCTGAGGAGGCTTCCTTCAGGAAAAACCATCTTCCTGACAAGGGGATTCTCTCCACTACAGGATTCTAGGAACCACCAGAAAGTAACACCCAACACCTAAGGTAGCCCAATGGGTAGAGGCCAGCTTAAAAGCTCAACCAACAAAAAACAGAGCAATATGGCATCTCCAGAACCCAGTTATCCGGAGGCAAGCAACCCTGGACACCCCCGCATAATTGAAATTCAAGAAGATGACCTAAGATCTATACTCATGAAGAGGATAACAGAGGAAACAAATAAAATGCATAAAGACCTACACAAAGATAAACTCAAACAGATTATGGCCATCCGTAAAGAAATACAGGAAGTTGCAGCCAAACAGTTTGTGGCCTTTAGAGAGGAAATGCTTAAATCACTGAAAGAAATAAAAGAAACAGAGAATTGTTCAAACAAACAGCTGAAGGAATTGAAGGAAAAACAGGAAAATACAGTCAGAGAGGTGAAGGAAATCAACAAAATGGTTAAAGATCTGAAGATAGAATTGGAAAAATTAAAGACAACAGAAATAGAGGAAACTGTGGAGAGAAAGAAGTTAGGGAAGAAAACAGGAACTACAGAGGTTAGCATAACCAATAGACTAAAAGAGATGGAAGAAAGAATCTCAGGTGTGGAAGATACAATGGAAGAAATAGATGTATCTGTCAAAGAAAATGTTAAATCTAAAAAATTCTTGACACAGACCGCCCAAGAAATTGAAGACAACATGAAAAGACAAAACCTAAGAATAATAGGAATAGAGGAAAAAGAAGATTCCCTCCTCCAAGGCCCAGAAAATATTTTCAACAAAATCATTGAAGAAAATGTCCCCAATTTAAAGGAGAGGCCAATAAGAATACAAGAGGCCTACAGAACACCCAATAAGTTAGACCAGAAAAGAAAATCCTCCTGCCACAAAATATTCAAAACAGTAAGTATATAGAACAAAGAAAAAATACTAAAAGCTTCAAGGGAAAAAGGCCAAGTAACATAGAATGGCAAACCCATGAGAATCACATCTGACATCTCAACAGAGACTATGAAAGCCAGAAGGTCCTGGACACATATCATGCAGACCCTAAGAGAACACAGATGTCAGCCCAGGCTACTATACCCAGCAAAACTCTCAGTCCTCATAGATGGAGAAAACAAGATATTCAATGACAAAAACAAATTTCAACAATACCTACACACAAATCCAGCATTACAGAAGACACTAGAAGGAAAAATACAACCCAAGAAAACTAACTACTTTCAAGAAAACACAGGAAATAAATGACCTCACTACAGCAAAACAAAAAGTAACCAAGCACACAAACTTACTACCACAGCCAACATCAAAATCAAAGGATCTAACAGGCACTGGTCATTAATCTCTCTCAACATCAATGGACTCAATTCTCCAATAAAAAGACACAGACTAACAGAATGGATGCTTAAACAAGACCCAACAATCTGTTGCATAAAAGAAACGCACCTAAGTCACAAAGATAGACATTACCTTAGGGTAAAGGTCTGGAAGACAGTTTTCCAAGCAAATGGACACAAAAAGAAAGCAGGAGTAGCCATTCTAATAACTGATAAAATAGATTTTCAACCAAAATTAATAAAAAGAGGTGAGGAAGGTCATTTCATATTCATCAAGGGAAAATTCCAACAGGAAGAGATCACAATCCTGAACATCTATGACCTGAATACAAGGGCACCCACATTTGTAAAAGAAACATTGATAAAACTTAAACCACACATATATCCACACACATTAATAGTGTGAGACTTCAACACCCCACACTCAACAAAGGACAGGTCAAGAAAACAGATATTAAACAAAGAAACACTGTCTTTAACAG